TATATATTCTGTAAATTATTTCTATAAATTAATAATCTATGCTTTCTAATTACCCTTATATATAATTAACAAGAATATTGTTTGATTCAAATTCCTCCCATATTCTAAACTTTAAAGAGTATTCCAGCTATGACTCCACACTTGCATGCCTTTCTAACCATACTTCTAAACATCTGGTGCATATAAACTAATGTATATTATATTTTCTTTCAGCTTTGCCTGTGTGGGTGCAGCAGGTGGTTTCAATAGACCCGAAGCGGAAAACCTTAACCCAAGTCTGAGTCTAACATTATTTTGTGCTCCCTGTGTTCAGCATTCAATCTCAACTTATATGGGCTTATACATATATTTGTATATATGAATGTGTATTTCATATAGAACTCAGTTTTTAGGCTGCGTGCGAAATTGTATTGTCAGTGGCAGCAAAAAGTTGGCCACAAGTTTTCTAGTTAACCTAAGTAGCTTTAAAAAGTGCATTTTAATTAAATGAATGTCAGAAATTTATGCCACAGCCTCTTTTGAATCATTACTGCGGTCCGACTGTTTCAATGAAGTCCAGGCATAAAATAATGCAATTGTAATTATTTCAGAGCAGAACTGCTGCACGTGCTGCCCAGAGCATGGTCAGGATTTCTGGATCACGTTTTACCAACACGCACAGCAGAGCTGAGTGCCTGTGTAGCTGGTATTAGTTGAGCTGAGTTGTTTGCCTTTGCCTTTGCCTTTGCCTTTGCTAAGTGCATTCTCCTGTAGAGAGACGCTCAGATAAAATGCAAAGCTTCAGCCGTTAATGCTCAGCTGAGTTATCAATTGATATGCGAACATGTTTATTGAGCGGAATGATTGACGCGAAAATCCGCTTCAAGTTGGCAGAAAAATCAAGAGAAAATATTTGACAAATTTGCAGAGCTGATGTGGAAGTCAGTAGATTATAAGTGATGTACGCTAGATAATGTATTAAAGCTGTTTTGTATGGCGGAAAGTGTTGAAAAAAATAAATCGAAATAGGATGTTTTTATTAAAATGCAGTGCTCCCCGATCTGGCAAAAAAAGCTCTTCAGGTTGGTGATATTCAATCAAAATTCTCTGTTCTTATTCACGCTACAAGCTTAATTGTTTAAGTTATTAGTGAATCTAATATTAAGTTCTCTTTGTCAATCTTTTTTATAATAAATAAATTAGACGATAGAGCTGGCTATTGTTAAACTCATTTATTAATAAACGTAATAAATGTTTCTAAAAAAGAACAGATAATTTTATTTAGAATATATTACTCTAACTAAATGTTTGTAAAACAGAACAGATAATTTTACATGGAATATATATGCTCTATATATTTGTTTCAAACCATTTATTATTAAATCAAGAGAGTCTAAGATTTACTAAGTAATCAAAATACTTATTCATTTTTCAAAATAAATTTCTTTATAATATTATTTTTATATTTA